TTTTTGACAACCATGGTAGGCCGACTATGGGGGGGGGGTGATACGAGCAGCCTCCCTTTGTAGGCCCAAAGCTGGCCGCTCCAGCTATTGGTGGGGAGCATCACCTGCTGGAAACCCCACATTTCTGGATCCTGCATGTCGCTCTGCACGTTCAAACGGAGTGTGTGCAGTTTGCGGCCAAGCAAGGACCCACTAGAATGACGGGGATTTTGTATTGTACTATTTTTCGTTTCTGTTCTGTTTGGGTGCGTTGTGATCTGTCTTGCAGTTTGTTCTCTCATCCTTGTCTGCAATCAACATGACTTTTTTTTTTTTTTTTTTTTTTTTTGGAAGAACTCAAAATTCATTACCAATTCCAAGGATGAGGCCGGGAATCCCTCAACAAACAACCCGGAGAGGGGGCTGGGGCCTTTACCCAGCATAGGCTACGGCTGGAAACCGGGTCCAGCATCCCATCCAAAATCCATCTAATATGTCTTCCAAAAAACCCTGAAGCTCAGTAAAAAAGGCGAAGGAGACCTACTCCTTACGATCTCTCAGCGTTAAACTCGTACGAGGACTCCATATTACTAAAACAAACTGACAGTACTCCGGACTCAGCCGAAAACATAAGCCGAACTTCACGGACTGCTATCCTGGAGTACCTGTACCCTCCCACCTCCAGGGCCTAACTTCGGCCCCCTGGTCTAAGTAGCGACCAAACTAATCATGTGTGTCATTCAACCATGAGCACAAAGACAAGGCACCTTCCGCTGAGACAGATGCCAATCGTTTATCCTTAGCCCAAGTTTTCAAGAACCAGACGCAATCAACATGACATTTGTGTCGTTGAAAAAGAAAAAAGACATTCGAATGTCTCATTTTGTTTGGCCGCATGGTGCATGCCTGCCAGTTGCCACTGTCACTGCTGCATTGACTACAGAATCCAAACCACCTCTACTTTGGCACCGTGCGGTTTCCAGGAAGAGGCTTGAACTACCAGTACTTGGCCCATACATCGGCCGTGGGCCCCTCTGGTTAACGCGAATCGGAGGAAAATGGCTGGCTGGCGGCACCAGCCAAAAGAAAGTTGCACCGGTTTGTTTTTCTTTGGCATGCAGCGCATGTCCGCTGTCAAAGAAAAGTGGCTCGTAAGTACTGGCGATTTAAAAGCCTTAAACCACCAGTACTTGGCCCATACATCGGCCACGGGGCGTTGTCATTAACGCCACTTAGCTTCCGGAGGCTCGGGGTACCGACCCTCAAAGGATGGTGCCGCCAGTCAAAACAACTTTTTCTTGTTGCGGTGGCGGGTCGGCGCGAAACGACGCGCAGCCCGGTTTCAGGCTCGGCATCAATAGCTGGGCCAAGTACTGGTGGTTTAAGGCTTAAACACCATTTTTCAGCTGGTCCTGTGACTGCCAGTGGCCTCTCGGCCAATGCTGCTCTCCGGTCAGAGTAGGGTGTAGACCCAGGAAAATGTGCTATAAGGTGTGTGCCAAGGATTTTTGGAAAGATGGGGGTGATGTTCTAGGTTTGAACTGAAATCTCCATGCATAGCTTCCAGTAGTTGGGTCAGCGGAAGAAAAGGGGAGGGTGAACGACGACAAAGTCGACTGACTGTCAATAATACGAGGAGAACAAAGAAAAATGAGCATATACATAAAAAGAAGCCCAAAACAAAAAGAGCGCCAGAGTGTTTTCGTGGGTGACCCACGGCTACACTGGTGACATCATCGTCGCTTACTGGCGCAAAATGTTGCGGGTGTTCATGTCGGATACCGCAAAGCTCGGAGTCCGAAGTTGATGGTTCTCAGATGAGCCTTTTGCTCGCGGGTCTCCTCGTCTCTGTGGAGCGCAGAAGTGAAACCTCGCCACTGCTAGCGATCCTCACGTGTGCACTTCGAGCAGTGTTTGCGGCTAGAAATCCTGGGTACGATGGTTGGCCAGGGGATAACAGTGAGCTCGCGATGAGGTGAAAATAATAAAATATAGAATAAGGAGGAAAGGCGATGTCCACGATCGCAAACCCGGACCCTACAAATCCTGTGCAGGTAGTTCTGTCAGGAAAAACATACGGTTTACAGATCTGCACCGGTGCTTCATCCACATCCCATTCACAGACACACGTCACCGCTTATCATTGTATGGTAAAGCAGGGATGTGTGAGATAGTGGGCTTGCACACCTGAAGAAGAGCTAGTAGGACGGGGAGAGAAAGCGGCTGGGAATAAGCAAAAAAAAAAAAAAAAAAAAAAAAAAACACAACACTTTTTGTAACCATTCAACACAGGTGTTTTGAAAAAGATGCAAAAGGATGCAAACATGCCAGCACATGCACACGTGTCCACGAGAGACAATCGAAGGCTCATTACTTCGAAACACATCATTCATGCATGAGAGCGAGACGGCTGAAAAAGAGAAGAACGTCCTTTGCCAGCAGCTTTCAAAGTTGGGACTGAAAGCGCAACAGTGGTATGCGCGTTAAGCTGTTGGTAAACAGATCACGAGTTTGAATCCCCGGAGGACGGATAGGGGTTATCTCCCTTTTTGGCACCTAGACCTTGAGAAGAAAGAAAAACGAGGAACTGAAAATGCGCATGGAATGTGCATCGACTACAATCTGTGTGATGACGATCGTGCAATGACAGCTCCCATGATGCTCATGTTATGATGATTGAGTTCTATCTCATGTGACCTCTCATCCCATTCAGTCTGTGAATGACGATGGTGAGTCCATGGGCGTCCTCTTGCCTCCCATCCTAAACCCCCCTCCCTCCTCCTCCTCCTCCTCCTCCTCCTCCCCCTCTTCTCCTGAGTTCTGCATTCTGCATAGAGTCCAGACCCTGAGTTGTCACATTCACACGCTCTGGACAATCATCACTTCCTCCACATATATGGAGATAGATAGATAGATAGATAGATAGATAGATAGATAGATATGACGATATGTATATATATCGTCAAATAGAACTGCCCGGTAAACCGTAGGCAGAGAG